AGCTCAAGCAATCCACCTGCCTTGGCCTCCCAGAGTGCTAGGATTACAGGTGTGAGGATTACCATGACTGGCCCTATATTTCACATTTTCTTCAGGGTTTTTACTTCAACTTTTTGTGCAATGTTTTCCTCTAATGTTCTAATTTTTTTTTTTTTTTGGAGTTTTTGGCCAGGCTGGGTTTGAACCTACCACCTCGGTATATGGGGCTGGCGCCCTACTCCTTTGAGACACAGGCACCACCCTAATGTTCTAAATTATTTGAAGTGGCTTATAATATTACTCAATGAAATGAGCAGGGTATCACAATTGTTTTAGAAAAAGATCAAGAGAATGAGTTTCTTTGGAAAAGAAGCTCCTTAAGGGCCTCCTCAATCCTTAACCTCCTCAATCTCTATAAAGACATAGTTTAGTTTCAGTTAAGTAGATACTAAGGACCAATAATTCAATTCAGACCCTGACTCAAAGTAACAAAAACATTTTATTTCTTACCACCTGCTCCTTCCAAAATGCCCCGGACCACTGCTTGAACACCATTGGGTCTCATTAACCTTTCAGAAAGCAGCTGCCCGCATAGACGCCGAAGCCAAGCTGGGGCCCTACCCTTAAGCTGTGTCTTCATTTCTGTGCAGGACTGAAAAAAGGAAGATGAAGGTATGAATTCCAAATGTCAATGAAATAGATGTAGACATTATTTTAAGAAAGTACTGTGCCATACTGCCAATGAACAGGGTGCTATTCAACTTCAAAAGAGCAATATTTTCTCCTTTTACAAAATGTTCATCAGCATTACTTTTAAGAAAGTAAAAATACTGTGAAAAATCAATGACATTGCAAACTCAGACCATCCTGAGTGAGACTCTGCCACCACAAAAAATAGAAAAAATTAGCTGGGCATAGCAGTACACGCCTGTAGTTCCAGCTACTCAGGAGGCTGAGGCAGGAGAATAGCCTGAGCCTAGGAGTTTGATGTTGCAGTGAGCTATGGTAATGTCACTGCACTTTAGCTGGAGTGACAGAGCAAGACTATTCCCTTTATGACTGAATCAATGAATGAATGAATGAAAAGAAACACAAACATATCAGTGAATAAAATGTAGATCTTGAGAACACAAACTTAATGCAACCAGTCTCTGAATGTGGTCCTGCCAATCCAGTCCAGCTTCCAAAGATCCTTATGAATGTTATTTGCCATTAAGAGAGTGATTCACTGTAGTGAGAGAGCACTCCAGCCCTGGCCTCTGTAGATTTAGCGACTCTGATTCCTGTGACATAGTGGTTTCAAGAACACATCAGATTCCTTCAAAGCCTCCTTTTTTAAAGATCAGGTCCTTGTTC